TAATCTTCCTCAGCAAAAAAAAAAAAAAAAGGATGGAGTAAGAAAGCTCTGACCGTTCCTGAAGTCAAAAACCCACATGTAACAGAACTCCAAATACTGGTGATTCCATCTCTTCAGTATCTGTCTGTAATCCATCTATTTTTTTTTTTTACTACAACTGTCACACATCATCTCTCTCCTGGCCTATTACAATCATCTTCTTCTACATTCATCTCTCTCAATTTCACTTTTATTCTATTACCAGTATTATTTCCAAAATTAAAAGTTAACAATACTATTACTCTGCTTAAAACTTTTTAATAACCTAAGGGGACCATGATTAAATGAGGTTTACTTGTCTGTCTTCTCTTTTACAGACCGTGAGTTCTTTAAAGGCAGGAACATAAATTTAAACTCTTGAATCCATAAAAGTGCTCTATAAAAACTTGCTGAAAGACTGCTTTGCATCATTAACTGCAAAGGTCTGTGCTCATATCTTCCATTTGGCACAATCTAGAGAGACAAGACCAAGAGCTCCTTAACCTGGCCTGCTATAACCTGCTGCACTCAAGTGTCAAAGCTGTTTGTGATACCAAGAGGACCAGGTGACACAGGGCTGCTGACGTACACGGACTCAGGCCATGGCACTACAACAGACTGTAAGATTTCTTCTTGCCTCTCGGTGACAGTAACGACAGCAGCAATCTAAAGCTCTATGCTCTTTCCCTCACTTCCAGTGTGAATGGAAAGCCTGGAATTGCTCCTTCTCAAAAACAGTTAACAGGTACACCCTTTACTGCTTACCAACCACAACCATAACTCTAACACTTGCTTGAAATATATCCTACCTGTCTTGGCAACCTCTCAGGGCTTTGCGGAGCTTCAGTTGTAAGGGGGTAGGGTTTATTTAAAAAACAAAGTGTTGCTTCCACTGTGCCATTATTTCCTATCTATTATCAATGAAAACAGAGATGTCTTTTCTTTCACGTAAGTGCTGTGTCAGTTTGTATAGGTTTATGAAAAATGTTTAAAGATATACAGAGAATGCTATTTTGGGGATCCTGGTTCCTTTAGGACATGGCCTCTCACTCCTAATGTAAGTTTCTTACCTTGACTGGTATAGAATGATACACCTTTTAATCTTTAGAGTGATAAGATACTAATTATGTGCTTTGTCTTCAAGCCACACCATATATGTATGTGTGTGTACAGCATATATATACACACACACATATGTGTGTATATAGCATATATATACACACATATATACACACACACATATGTATGTATATACACACACATATACATATACATTATGCATAAATATTGTATATGATATTTAAATATTACATATGCACTTACATACACACACATACACAAATAACTTTCCATCATTAGCACTTTTGTCTGATCTACAATTTTGAGAAGAACTATGACTTGCTGAATATGGCACACTTCCTCCCTCTTTTCTTCCTCTCCACATACTATCCATTCTTCAAGGCCCAGCAAGACTTGCCTTTTCCATGAAGCTTTGCCATCTCGAGGCCTTCTAGAATTTAACTCAAATCTTCTGATCTAAGTCTACTTTCAAAGAGAATAATTAAAAATATAGTGCACATGTACCACATACTCTGGCCAAATCCTATGTCTTCCACCAACTAAGTGCTCAAAAAATACCTGTGGAGTGCTAAATGTGTGAAATAGAACCACACATTACCTAGCAAGTGGTATAATCCCAGTACCTGCACGAACTCTTCTCCACGTACACCTTACATCTACACCTGTGCACTTTTGTTTATGTTGTTCCTTTACCACACCAGCTATTCCTGTAGTCACCTCATGCTCTTCTCAGCTTTCAAAGTCTTAACCCAGTATTCGAGTTCCTGCTGAAATAACACCAACCTCCTTCGTGAAGCTCTCTCTAATTCACTACAGCCAGAGGTGACCCTCCTCTCTTCACTCCTCTTAAAGATTATAGTTCAGGCCACTGTTTCAATAGGTAATAGACATTGCCTTGTACTATAATTCTTTGTGTATATTTCTGATCTCTTAAGTCATGATAAATTCCTTGAAGGAAGAATCATTGTATTCCTCATAGCCCATGTTCAATCTTTGAAAATAGAAAGCTCTCAATAAATATCTGTTCGTTGAATTTGTTGAATTAACTATTCCAGTCCACTTCAATTTATTCTTTTGCAGAGCATCTTGACCATTTGTATCCACCACACAATCCAGACCCTAAAGCTATACAGTCTCTCATTAATTTCCACAAGTTCCTCACATCGCAAGTAGACTGAACTTCTTCAGGGCAGGGGCTTGCCTACTCTCACCTTAGGTTGCTGAGGTCAGAGAGGATGTTCAGTTGTGGACTGACTGAAATAGTATAAATTTATGATCTAATTTATAACAGGCACTCCTTGGAAGAATGGAAGAATATTTATATCCATCAAATCTTTATGCACATTTCTCATTAAAATCATCATCCCAGGGACAGCAGTTTTGATGCAATCAGTTGACAGTTCAACCCTGTGAAGCCCTTGGAAAATGAGGCATTGTTGGTCATCGCTGATTCTGGAATAAGAAATTCTCCCTGAGACTATGTAACCTGCCTTGAGGAGCAGATGTAGAGACTGCTATTAAGGATGAGAGCATCTATTTCAACACTTTAGCTAATACAATGGTGGCACTGTTCGATGTTTAGTTCTAATTAAATTTCCCATAGGGCAATTAGACTTAATAAAAAATCCTCTCAGGGCCAGTATATTTCTAATTGCTCACCTGCCCAGCAAGAAAAACCCTGCTCAAGGCCTCAAGTGCCAACCTTCCCCAGTCATACAGATCTGTCATCGGCTACCAGCAACTTTTCTCCAGGTGACCCTTCCCAGATCCCTTACTCAGCAGTGCCCCATCTTTCACTCACCAAACGGAATTCAAGTGAATGGCTGGTGAAACTACAGTAGTGCCTTTTTTTTTTTCCTTAATCTTCATCTATATTTTTAGTTGCCTTATACAATGGGAGAGAAAATAAAAATAAAATGATTTGGTTAAAATCTGGACCTGGCAGAAGAAAAAACACACAGCCCATGAATGTCATCTGAGATTCAACCCAGATCACGTCATGTGATCATTTTGGCTGAACCCATCAGCTAAATGGCCAGAACTGGCAAATGCAAACACACACACACACACACACACACACACACGCGCGCGAGTGCGCGCGCTCATGTTCGAACATGTTTATCTATACCTTCTCATGTAAACATCATACCCCATCCTTAATAATCCTCAGGCCATTTTAAGGTAGAATTCTGGAGTAGGCACATATTCCAAAGGAATTCTGGTTAGCCCACTAAGGAAAAAAAAAAAAGGAGGAGGAAGAAATTTTTTTCTTTGCTAAATTACTTACTATTTGTAAGTACTGGTAGGCTATGTGATATGCGTTTACTATAAACCATTGCATTTCCTTATGTTCTGCTCCCCTCGAACAAACAAACAAAGCAAACAAACTCTCAGAAAGCAGACACAAAACCAGCTAATGGTGTTGTTTTCTCCACTTTCCTTACGAAGTTAAAGGTTTACTAAAATGTCAAAGCAGTTGAAATAGACGTTCTCTGCAGACTCTCTAGGTCTAAAATGTAACCTGAGCTCTAGTCTTTCAGCTGGAGATACATTTTTAATTTTCTTTAATGATTTCCTTTGCCATACTTGTCATTTTACAGGTTTTTTAAATTCCTCGAGCCTCGCCCAGTGGAGGGAAAGTCACCTTAATGAAGAAAGTAGAGATTAAACCACCATGACTTTGGAATAGCAGAGGATCTCAGCTGTAATTCTTTGGCTCATAACCAGGGTCTAAAACCAGCCATGGGAAAAGCTGCTGAAAAGGAGCCTGCAATTCTCTCCATGTTTGACTTGCATAATGTTGACATTATAACACCAGAGAGACCCAAAAATATTTCAAACAATCATGACTTCTTTTCTATAAATATTTTTAAATTGTTCTAAGAGATAAAATAACATATTTTACCCTTCTTGTTTTCTTAGTTACTCTGGTCGCCCTCAGCAGCTAACTACTATGGATTTATTTTTGGCTCAAAGGTCAGGGAGGACATCTTAAGGCACTACCTCTGCTGTTGAACTGTGTTTTCCAACATGAGTGCCTGCTGAGTAGAGGAGTCAGCTACTCTTAAAGCAACAACTGAATGTGGTGTCATAGCATAGGAGAAATCGACTGTTTCTTTCCTCTGTTGGAGCCCAAGCAAGGAAAAAAACCAAATATGCAAGATAGTCTTTTAAAAAGTCTCCCAACCCTTTTATGAGCTCAATTTTCTTTCTGCACAGAAAAATCCTTCTTTTCATCCTCTTTCATTGCTCTTTCTTATTCTAGTTATTTCTGCTAGGGGACATGAGTTGGAGTATACTGGGACTTCACTAGGAAGAGGGTACAAAAAAGGAAGGAGAATTATAGAGATGGCCAAGGAAGCGCATGACTTCTGAATACATTATTTATCTGTTTCAGGTGTCTCTTCCTTCAAACTTAGCCAAATGGTAACCTCCCAGAGAGTGAGAGGTGAAATTTATTTGAAACTCCAATTCCTGCTCTCAGACAATATGATTAAGAGGGCTTAATTTTGAGCTCTGGAAATAGGCTATGACATCCTTAGTCACAGATGAGCTCAGTGATCAGCAGGTTAATAACCCTTCAGTGCAATTTCAATATCTCTCTCCAAGCCTGAGGACCAAGAGACCTGGCTTATCTTCCATATAAATGCCCTTAGCATGATTTGTAGCCTTTATTTTTGATGTGACAACACCAGATGCCAAAGCTGGCTATTGTATTCCTCCTAAAACATCCATGGAAAAGTCCTCCTAGTTTATGATTTTAAAGCTACGACAAGTTTCCTATTTGTTGCTACTTAAAACGTACATCTTTTAATTAAATCATCCAAGGAACTTAGATTTAACAAATAAAGTTCAGTGGTATTTCAAAACACTGGGGGTGGGAATAGGAAAGCAGAACTCACCTTCACTCCCAGAAAAAGCATCACTGGAGCCTGCCACTGCCAGGGTCAACAGCAGCTGCCAGAGATCCATACCTGTAGGACCTGCAATCACAAAAAAGAATACGATAAAGCCAATTAAAAGTAGACCATTATCATTAAATACTGTTTAAAGACCGGCTAAATCACAAATGAGCCGACATGCATGTCAGTTCTAGAAGGAATTCTAATAAATCTTTTATTGCCCCAGAGTCTCATATTGTCATACTTTTCATGAGAGCAAACAGCAGGTTGTAATAAATTCTACTTTCCGTGGGTGCTCGCCTCAGGAAATAACATGAACACTAAAGATTTTCACATTCTGGCTGACAGCCATAGAACCACCTCACAACAAATGACCCCCATGCACTGCTTCAATAACAGGGCCGGTGTGGTGCACTTTAATTTGATCTGGAAATAGAAAAACTTGTCATCAGTATCACCAAGCTTGGGGCCTGGAGCTGGACAGGCCATAAAAGGAAAAATAAAACAACCCACTACAATAGTAAAACTTCTCCAGTGTGTTTCCCAGTGAACAAAAGAGCTCAATTAACATTCAAAATACTGTGCTAATGAGCCACCCTAAGGAGGTTTAACTAGAAGGCAGCAGAAAGGAGAAAGTGAGAAGCAAAAGATAAGAAAACACCTCTGCTTCCTAGTGTCCTTGTGGGTTTTTAGTTTTAGGAGGAAGGTGGTCTCTGAAAGGCCCAGGAATGTGAACACTTCAGACTCAAACAAGGGTCAATTTGTGGCCTTGCTAGCCATTTGGAATCCCAGTGTGGCCACACCTTGAACCCTTCAGTTTGATGAATGGGGGAGCAGGTCAACATGCCTCGGCCAGCACACACCTTTACCTGGAGGAAATAGCTTCTTTGGAATAAATACACCAGGTGTCCACTTCCAAGACCTCTGAAGAGACAAGTTTGGGCTGGTTTAAAATGAACTCAGCAGATTGCCCTTGGGAGAGCTGATGCTGCATCTGACAACCAATGCCAACTACTTGAAAGCTTAGCTGCAATATTCCATAAAATGACACTACTTATAAGTCACTCAGGCATACCTGCTCATCACGCTAGGAGCTCCACCAGTGCCTCAACTGACCTCGTTTTTATTATTATACATTCTTGACAATAATGAAATAGCCCTTATGCTACCCCTAATCCAGCTGAAACGACAAACAAGAATGTTTGTTTTCACGGGTAACAGAATGATATGGTCCCCGGTAATGGCTGCATAATTCTGAACAAGTATAAAGTGTCTGATGTTCTACACTTTCATTTCTAGACAGAGGATGACCCATTTTCTTGTCTCATTGATTTTATATTCTTAAAAATTTCTAAAAAAACACATCTCTATATAAACTGAATATCCTCCTGTGTCTGCACACCCATGTGTATGCCGACACGCATAAGAAACCCCCTCACACACTATCTCGTGGAGTCATTGATAGGATCAATGTGATAGTGCAGATGACACAGTTTGCCAACTGTGAGATTTCCTACCAATGTGAGTTGCAGTTATTATAACATCTATGTTTTAAATTCCTAACCTGGAAGGCCCTGGGCTAATGGCCTCGGCATCATCCTCATCTACTTTTGCAAATATGAAGCACTGAGCATCTCTCCCTTGCTCCTTTACTCCTAGGTGAACAGGCTATGTCATCATAGTTTGAAGCCTCCAGCAGAAATACATAAAATATCCTGTTGGTAACTGGAGATTTCCTCTTAAATTTTATTTTTAAAGTAGTTTTTTAAGTAGGAATGCATTGAGGAACTGGACTCTGTATGCAGTGTTGGTTTTACTAGCCATTCCCAACACACTTAGTGCCAGGTAAAGAAGCCTTCTCTGGCACATGCTCTCTTGATATCAGATTGTAACAGAGAATCCCAATTCCCAGGCAGCATTTTTCACTTCCCAACTGAATAAGATATGAACAGGTTTGCTTTTCTCAGAAGGGTGCTTTCTCTGGTTTGGAAGTCACCTCTTCAAAAATCTCAAATAGACTTGGCAGATGCCAGAAACAAGTGGATTTTGCGTCAGATGAATAGTAGTTGACTCCCTCCCATCCCCAAACTTTTGAAAACTGCTGCCTGCTAATGAACTTCACTGCTCCCAAATAAGGAACTGATTATGGCAACAATTCTTTTATAAGCCAAACATATCTCCATAGAGCACGTTCTATCTCACAAAACAAAACAAACAAACAAATAAATCAGAATCCCCAAAGCAAAATTAACCAGAAATCTGTTTGCACACTCCTACAGAAGAAAAAGAGGTATTTAAAGCTGCCATTCGCCCAAATAGGAGATGAGAACAGTTCACTGCCACTTACGGCATTGCATAGGGACCCAATTCTAACTCTGACTAGGGGTGGGAGCAGAGAAGAGGATAAAGAAATGTGGCTGGATTCAGTAAGAGCTAACTGTTTCATCAGAGACTAATATTCCCTTTCCACTGCTGCTGGCTCAGTGGGGATGACTCTGAAAGTAGGCCCCATTGCACTCCCCTAGTGAACTAGCTCTGGAGCCACCATATGGCCCAGGCCAATTTGATTGTAAGCTGCTCCCTTCCTCTTTGCAGACCTCCATGTGGCAGCTTCTAGAGAAGAGGATCCTTGTTTATTAGGTTCTAGCTGAGACAAAATGCTAGGAGAGGACAGAGTATCAACACACGAAGTCTGGAACTTTAATGTAATCTATCAATGATGCACCAGATGTGAGCAGGAGAAAGTCCCATTATTCCCCTTCCCCAATATAATAATCTAAGTAGAGGCAGGCATTGTCCAGAGGAATTGACCTAATTGTACCTTAGCCTATGGGCTTTTTAAAGTTTGTGGCATTTTTCTAGGGAAAATCCCTTTCTAAATTTCTAATGATATTTATGCATTCTTTGGCTATTGCCTCATGGCAAGATTTGCATTGGGGGTGGGGGGGACAAGCTTCTATTCTTGCTTAATAGAACTTACATAATTTCCACTCTCAAAGCCTGAGGCATTTTGACTGCTTCCCCCCACCCCAAGGGAGAGTCAGTTGAAAAGCAGTGTGATCCAGCTGGCGTGAGTTTTAATTCTGTAGACTGTCCAGCAGAGGAGGCCTCTGAATTACAGTTAGGCCTATGATATACTGACTTTTATTCCTTGGCTATAAAACAGTCCATAAACACATGAGAAGAGATGGAGATTAAACATAACGTTTTTTCCAACATGTTATAACCAACTCCAGGCAAAGAAAGCAATTGATTCAATTCTCTTTAATTTAAAATTAGCAAAGATTTGTTGAACTACTAGTGCCTGCTAGCACTGTGCAAGGCACAATGGAGAACACAAAAGCAATCATGGTTCTTGACTTCGAGAATTAGGCAAGATAGGCACGTGAAGCTTGGCAAGAGGAGCATAACTAAAAAGTGGAAGGTCAGAGTAGGGAAAAATCAGCCACTGGATCGAGGGGCTTAAAATTAGAACTAAATGAGAGATAAGACTGTGATAGGTAAGGAAAAAGTGAGATGGGGTGTGAGAACTTGTATAATGGGTAAAAACTCAGACAGTGCAAATGTCCTATCTGGGTTCTGATTAGTTCAGGATAGTAGTCAAAGGAGGCTGGTGAGATAGAGAGCAAGGTTTGGAATTATGAATAAAGGGGAATAAAATTGGATTGGTGAGGGAGGACCAGACTGAAACAGCATTTTCAACTCATTAATCGGAAAGTCACTAGAAGTTTTGGTATAGGTAAATCACGTGAAAAAGTGGATTTTTCTTAGGATAAATCTGCCCCTCATACTTTCTTAACTTAATATCACTGAGAAATACTGACAATATTTGGTGATGACTGGATACAAGAGATGATAAAGACATGTCGATCACAAATGACTGAGTATATAGCATATGTGTGGATGAAAGACGGTGCTATTGACAGAAATCAAGAATTTGGGATCTGAGTTGTTTAGGAGAGGAGGTCACATGACTGTCTTGGATACTTGGTGTTTAAGGTGATTATGAGATGCATGGAAATGTTACAAATGTCTAGTGAGAAGCTGAAGTTACGAGACCAAAGATTGAGAGAGAAGTCATTACTGGATTTCAGAGATATCTACACAGAGATGATAGTGTCAGATGAATTTAATGTGAAGACTAGACTGTTTCGTGAAGAACCCCCATATCATCTTTATTAAAAGTAATATTAAAAAGTATGTTAAGCCATATAGGGAAAAATGTGCTCATATCTGGTTTGTAATTTGGCAGAGACTAAACAAACCACCACCTAAAACCACTACACCTTCTGATTTGTATTAAGTATTTCAAAGGAAAGTGGTCAAAAATATCCCTAGAAGTATGATGTTAGCATATTAATACACGGGAAGGATAAAATGATAGATTTAGGAGCTTGTAGTCCTGTTAAAGCAAAATATCAAAATGGCAGCTGAATCGATCAGAAATAATAAGTTCCCTCCAATTTTTGTTTTATTGATCTAGCTACTCTGATAACAAAAAATCAAGAGCTGATTAAAAAATCCCCACAGAAGCAGAACTGCTCATATTGCAAAACCAAGATTGCAGGTAGACAACCTAATAAATGTGTACTTTCTGATGCTGGTGTTGATTACTAATAAAACATTGCAAAACTGAATCTCGTTGATTTTTTGGTGAGGCTTTCCCAAGAACTCAGCACTGGAAAAGGAAGAGGCTAATCCAAAAGGGCAATTGAAATGACCCAGTCTAATTAGGCATTTATCTGACCAGTTTGCACTTGTAGTTCAAGTTACTACCCACTTTTTATGGTGGTGGTCATTTGAAAGTTGCTCAGCCCCAAAATGCCTTAGGTCAATTTATATCCTTCCCATTAGTGAGGAAGACAAAGTTCATAGACATTATTGATATAACTACTTTCGCTGAGATTTCTCTCTTCTCAGGAATCCAGTGGGGAATACAGGATGGGAAAGTATTTTAAATGTGTAAGGTAAGAGGGAAAAAAGGCCTTTGGGAGTAGCATATACAGTAGGTCTCCATTTTTCTAAAACAAATAAGGCCTATAGGGTATGTACCTATGCTGATGGCTATTGAGCACTTGAGA